AAAAAAAAAAACATACTAAGCCCTTGGGTTCCATGGGTCTGAACACTGCAAGCCACTGTGTGCCGAGAGCCCTTCTATCGACTTCACATCTTCTGCATATCCAGTCTTCGCTTTCGGGTGTATCCCCAGCTTTGCCGATACCGTAGCAGTGTTTATGTACACAAAATAAACAACGAACACAAGAATATAAAGGGTTTAGAGCGCTACCCTCACACCGCCAGCACACGCAGCAACACACAAACTCAAACCCGAAACAACCACCAGCTCCTGCTGCTGCTGCTGCTGCTGCAGAAGCAGCAGGAGCTGCAGCAGCAGCAGCAGAGGTTGATGCTGCAGCAGAACCAGATGCAACACCGTAGGATAGTAAGAAACTTGAGGATATGTTGCTTAGAGTAGGGCTGTTATTCATTCCCATGCTGCTGCTGCTTATGCTCTTGCTGCTGCTGCTGCTGCTGCTGCTGCTGCTGTTCATAATGCTGCTGCTGCTGCTTATGCTGCTGCTGCTGCTGCTAGGCAAAGACAGAGAACGACCGCCACCACCGCCAAAACCGACTGCAGGAGAAGCAGCTGCTGCGCCTCCATCGGATATCTTTCCTCCTGCTGCTGCTCCTCCTGCTGCTGCTGCTGCTGCTGCTGGCGTCTCTGCAGCAGCACGAGCACTGTTGTTACGTTGACGTTCCGGTGGGTTTGAGTAGCTGTACATACACCCCAACGCAGCGCAAACAAACACAAGAACAAATAGCAACAGCAGCAAAAGCAGCAGCACCGAGGAAATACAGCAACACCGAAAACAGAAACCCAAACACTGCACCGGCGAGCAGCAGCAACAGCAGCAGCAAAAGCAACAGCAGCAACAGCAGCAGCAACAGCAACAGCAGCAGCAACAGCAGCAGCAGCAGCAACAGCAACAGCAGCAGCAACAGCAACAGCAGCAGCAACAGCAGCAGCAGCAGCAGAAGCATCTGCCCACTTGCGTTTTGCTGCTCCTGCAGCAGCAACTTCTGAGATAATACGGGGTGTATGTACACCCCGCAGCAGCCCGGTAAGCGGAGGCCGCGGCGATACATTTGGGTCTTCTCGCGGCAGTGTTCCCTCTTGCTGTTCATACAGCCGCAGTGCTGCTGCTGCTGCGCTTCCTGGGTCAGCAGCAGCAGCAGCAGCAGCTGCTGCTGCTGCTGCCGCCTCTGCTGCCTCTGCAACATCACTAACAGGCGGGCCCTCGTCTGCAGCCGGCTCAGGAGTTGGGTTGAATAGCTGCCGCAACTGCTGCAGCTGCAGCAGCTGCTGCTCTGGTGCTGCTCCTTGTTTCCTCCCTGCTGCAGCAGCAAATCTCTTTGCCACAGCCTGCAGCCCTGCCGGTGTGTCTGCTTCCTTGCTGCTGCTACTGCTGCTGCTGCTACTGCTGCTGCTGCTGCTGCTGTTGCTGCTGTTGCTGCTGCTGGTTGTATCGCGTTTGCCCTGTTGTGTAGGATTTCCAAAAGTGAGTGTATTTGCACTTCTTCCCTGTTGCACAGCTTGACTACTATATTGCTGCTGCTGCTGCTGCTGTTGCTGCTGCTGCGCAGCAGCAGCAGCAGCAGCAGCAGCAGCAGGGAGAAATGGAGGCATGGGCAGATCATGAATACCCTCAGTAAAGGCTTGACGCAGATGCGCCCATCTATCCATCGCCGCGTAACGGCTCAACAAATTAAATAAAATATCGGCGCGGTCTGTTAGCCGCAAAGCCGTCTGGTTTTCATCGAGAATATTTCGCAGCAGTGAAGACTTGAAATGAGATAAATCACGAGCTAGAACACGGCTAACCTGAATACACATATATACATATATATTTTATTTGTTTTATTTATTTATTTTATTTTATTTATTTATTTATTTGTTTATTTAGGTTGTGTTTTTGTTGGTTCGGTGGTCGATCGTTTGTTTTATTTAAAATATTTCGCAGCAGTGAAGACTTGAAATGAGGTAAGTCAAGAGCTAGAATGCGGCTAACCTGAATATACATTTACATATATTCTTATTTATTTTATTTATTTATTTATTTATTTTATTTATTTTATTTATTTATTTATTTTTGCTTTTATTTCAGTCGTTTGGTTGATTGGTTTGTTGGTGGGTCGGTAAATCCCGAAATGATGAAAACTTGAAATAACACGGCTCACCAGAATACACATTTGCATCTTTATATTTATTTATTTATTTTATTTATTTATTTTATTTATTTATTTATTTTATTTATTTTATTTACTTATTTTATTTATTTTATTTATTTATTTAAACTTTATTTTAGTCGTTTTGCTGGTTGGTTGGTTGTCGTTTCGTTTCATTAAAAATATTGCGAAGCAGTGAAAACTTGAAATGAGCTAAGTCAAGAGCTAATATATATATATATATATATATATATATATATATATATA